CTTACGGTTACAATACTTCCTAAGTCTCTTGTAAATATAAGTCACTCTCTCTGGGGCTCTGTCTCTGGGTCTGCAAAGCTGCTTTCTGCCTCTGGATGGTCAGCTGGTCTCCTCAGAAGGCCTCAGGCTATTCCAAGAGAATTTCTGAGAGAGGTATACGGGTGAACTCTGTTTTTATATCTTTTACATGGTCTTCTGGAACTTTCTGTAGTTCTGACCAATCAGGGAGATAGACTTAATAGTTTGAAACAAGAGTCATTTAGATATAACAAGAACTGCAGATGCTGGAGTTAGAGACAGCACAGTGTGGAGCTGGAGGAACATAGCAGGCCAGGCAGCATTAGAGGAGCAGGAAAGTTGAAGTTTCAGGTTGGGACCCTTCTTCAGAAATGGGGGAGGAGGAAGGGAGCTGGGAAATAAATAGAGGGCTGGGGAAGATAGGTGGGATGGTGATAGGTGAGTGCAGGTAGGGAGTTGTGTGAACTGGATAGTGAGGTGGGAGGGGGCGGATAGGTGGGAGAGAAGGTGGACAAGTTCTGTCAGGTCAAGGAGGTGGGGATGAGAGGGAGGGTTGGACATGGGATGATGCCGGTGGTGGAGAGATTTTAACATAGAATTCACCAATGTTGAGGCCATCGGGCTGTAGGCTCTCAATGTGGACTATGAAGTGTTGCTCCTCCAATTTGCAGGTGGTGTCATTGTGACACTGGAGGAGGCCCTGGATGGACATGTCACCCAGGGATTGGGAGGGAGAGTTAAAATGGTTGGCAACCAGAAGGTGTTGTCATTTGTCGTGCACAGAGCGCAGATGCTCTACGAAAAGGTCTTGGAGTCTACACTTGGTCTCACCGATGTAGAGGAGGCCACATCAGGAGCAGTGAATACAGTAGACCGAATTGATGGATGTACAGGTGAACCCCTGTCTGATCTGAAAGGTTTGTTTTGGACCTTGAATGGAGGTGGTTGCGGCGGGGCGGGGGGTGTAGTATAGGGACAGGTGTAGCACTTCCTGCGATTGCAGGGAAAGGTGCCAGGTGTGGTGGGGTTAGTGGGGAGTGTGGAGTGGATGGGAAGTCACAGAGTGAGCGGTCCCTACAAAAGCTAGAATAAGGATGGGGAGGGAAATATCTCTGGTTGTGGGGTTGGATTGTAGGTGGCAGAGAATAATACGTTGGATACAGAGGTTGGTGGGGTGATATGTAAGGACAAGGGGGATTGAGTCTTTATTTTTGTTGGGGGAGGAAGTTTGAGGGCAGAAATGCAGGAAACACAAGAGATGCAGTTGAGGGCATTTTTGATCAGTGGAGGGGGTAAGTTTCGGTCCTTGAAATAGGAGGACATCTGGGATGTACGGGAGTGGAACGCTCCATCTTGGGAGCAGATGCGGTGGAATTGGGAGTAGGGGATAGCATTCTTGCAAGAGTGTGAGGGAGAGGAGGTGTAATCTAGGAGCTGTGGGAATCGGTGGGCTTGAAATAGATGTCATTTTTGAGGCAGTTACCAGAGATGGAGTCGGAGAGGTCCAGGAAGGAGAAGGAGGTATCGGAGATGGTCCAGGTGAATTTGAGGTTGGGGTGAAAGGTGTTAGTAAAGTTGATGAACTGTTAGGTTAGGCAGGGAGCTTGTTGCATCAACAGCCAAAATCCTTTTCACAGAAAATACTGTCTGAAACTTAGGTCAAACTCTGGTGCCTCCCTTTCAGACTGACCATCTCCCCACGACATTCCAGTTACCATTCAATATCTACCATCTGTATGAGCATAACGTCTCCCCTGCTGTTGAAGCGTCTGCAGAACATTTTGACCAAAATCCAAACTGCTATTAACTCCCAGGCCTGGCCTCACAAACAAACTACAGTCTGTTTGTTACAACACTTCTGAAGAAGGGTCCCAACCTGACATGTCAGCTTTCCTGCTCCTCTGATGCTGCCTGGCCTACTGTGTTCCTTCGCATCTCCAGACTGTTGTCTCTGACTGCAGCATCTGTAGTTCCTGCTATCTCACAGCTTGTTTGTTTTTTTTTTGAAACACAACCTGCTGTTCAGTTGAAAGGTCATTTTTAAGTTCTCGGTTCTAAATTCACAGCCCCAAACCAAATTGATAAAATAAAAATGAAAAGTCAGCAAGGGTTCTAACAAAAAGGGATTGCAGTTTAAAGGTAAGCAAATCTTTCCCAAGTTACATAGAGCTTTGGTTCGGCCACACTTTGGTTTCCTTAGCTAGAAAAAGATACACTTGCCTTAGAAGGAGGACTATGAGCCAAAGGCCTATAGCAGTATTTTGCAAACTTTCCTTGGTGTCATCCCATTTTATTGCCTTAATTTGACTTGATTTATTATTGTCCTATGTATTGAGATAGTGAAAAGTATTATTTTGTGTTAATCAGATAAATCATACCTTACACAAGTACATGAGGATAATAGAACAGAATGCAGAATATAGTGTTACAGCTAGAGAAAAAGATCAATTCAACTATGAGGTCCATTCAGAAGTCTGATAACAATCCGAGCAGAAGCTGTACTTAAATCTGTTGGTACGTGTTTTCAAATGTTTGTGTCTTCTGCCTGATGGAAGAGGGTAGAAGAGAGTATGACTGGGTTGGGAGGGGCCTTTCATTATAGATCATTTGGCCCATATCCCTGTAAACCCTTCCTATTCATACATCCATCTAGATGTCTATTAAATGTTGTATTTGTCCCAGCCTTCACCACTTCCTCTGGCAGCTCTTTTGGGCCACGCATCACTTTCCGTGGAAGAAGTTGCCCCTTCGATCCCTTTTAAATCTTTCTTCTCTCACCTTAAACCTATGCCCCCTGACTTTAGACTCCCCCACCCCAGGAAAAATATCTTGGCTATTTATCCTATCCATTCCCCTCATGATTTTATAAACTTCCATAAGGTCACCCCTCAGCGTTCGCCTCAAGATAAAATAGCCCCAGCCTATCCCTATAGTTTATACCCTCCAACCCTGGCAACATCTTTGTAAATCTTGTCTGAACCCTTTCAAGTTTCACAACATCCTTCCTATAACGGTGACCAGAATTTCACACAGCATCCCAAAAGTGGCCTAACCAATGTCCTGTACAGCTGTAACATGACCTCCCAACTCCTATACTCAATGCACTGTCCAGTAAAGGCAAGCATACCAAATGCCTTCTTCACTATCTTGCCTACCTGCAACTCCACTTGAAGGAACCTGCACTCCAAGGTCTCTGTTCAGCAACACTCCCTGGGACGTTACCATTGAGTGTATAAGTCCTGCCCTGATTTTCCTTTCCAAAATGCAGCACTTCACATTTATCTCAATTAAACTATCATGTTGGCTACTTTCCTGTGGTAGCAGGAAGTGTAGACAAAGTCAGTGGAAGAAAGGCTAGTTTACGTGATGGATTGGGCTGCATTCACAGCTCTCTAATTTTTTGCAGCCTTTGGTAGAGCAGTTGCCAAAACAAGTTGTAATGCATCTGGATAGAGTGCTTTCTTTGGTCCATCTATTAAAATTGGTAAGAGTCATTATGGATATGCCAAATTTCCTTAGCCTCCTGATGAAGTAAAGGCATTAGTGTGCTGTCTTGACTATAGCATCAAAGTGGATCTCCAACAAGATAGAATCTAACCATTGCCCCCCTAACATCTAATGGCATCACCGTCACTGAATGCCTCTCTATTAGTAAGCTGAAGTTACCATTGACAAGGAAACAACTAATCATATAAATACTGTGGATATAAGGGCAGATCGGAGGCTAGGAATCCTGCAGTGAGTCTCTCACCTCCTGACTATTTGAGGTTCGCTGGTGGTTTGCTTGCCTTATTTCACAGGCTCAGGACTTATGGGTTAGAGTTTCAGTATCCAACTGGAGCCTACAATATAGTTCCATATTATTAGCTCCTGTCCTGGGGAGTTCAGTACTCGTGATAGTGAACCCGGTGTCATGTTAGCCAAAATCCCATTAAATAATCATCTTCTCAATCTTGTTTGAGTTCACTGCACAAAGAAATTTGACCAGAATCACAAATAACAAAGGGGTGATGAATGTTTTAACAAGGTAATTTAAAACAAGCTTTTTTCACTCTGAGGGAAACAGAATTGAAAAGTTCTGTTAAACTTGTTGAATTTTGATTAGAATTGGTATATTCCTCAAAATGTGTTCTAAATTCCATATTAGGAAAAGGATATGGAAGCACTGGAAAATATGCAAGACCACATTTAAGGATTAAACCAGAACCGAGAGGTGATGCTCAAGCAAAAATTGAACCTGCTGAGTCAGGTTCTTTCTCTGGAATAAACCAATATTGATTAGAGATTAGAAAGGGGTTGATAAGGTAGGCATGGAAATGTTACCATTTGAAGCGGTGTCCAAACAAAACAAAAAGGGCCATAAATATAACAGTCAGTAATAAATCCAACAGGGAATAAAAGGGAATCTTCTTTGTCCAGAGAAAATGTGCACCTCAGTAATATAGGGAGGGGGATGGGGAGGTGGTGAGTTAATTAGACTGTAAGACCACGAGAAATAAGAACAGCAGTAGGCCATTCAGCCCCTCAAGCTGCTCCATGATAGGATTATGGCTAATCTGACATTCCTCACATCCACTTCATTGTATTTTCCCTGCAAACCTCGGTGATCAAGACTTGATCTCAGCCTTAAATATACACAAGGACTCTGCCGCCACAGCTCCCTGTGGCAAGAAGCTTCAAAGACATGCAACCCTCAAAAGAAATTCCTTATCTTGGTCTTGAATTGGTACCCCGTTAATCTGAGTCTGTGGCCTATGGTCCTAGACTCTCCTATGAGGGGAATCATCCTCTCAGTATTTATTCTGTCCAGCCCCTTAAGAACCAGATTTGTTTCAACAGTATAGATGCACAAGGGAAAAACAAATAGAAGGATATGCAGATGGAATCAAAAGGTGCTAGGAAGCTCATGTGGTGCATAAACCTTGGCAGGGATCTGTTGGCCAATTCCTGTACTGTTATAAATAACACACCAACGCATTATCCAATGTCACAACTGAAAAGGTGCCTTTTTATTGATTAATACAATCAGTTACGTACTCAGAAAATATTTTAGCGAGGAAAAGCCACAACCTGCTGGTTATTTGCTGTTTTTTGGGCACATATTTCAAAAGAATGGAGCTGACTTGAGGGCAGAGCAGATTTCACCAGTGTTCAGTTCTCACAAAAGGTAAACAGCTTGTATTCTGCAATGCTCCAAATATGGTAAACCGTGCGACATGTAAAACCTCGCAGCTCAGAACATTAATACGTTCGGGACAGAGTTACAGCCTGCATCACTAAAGAAAGCTGTAAAGGGTACAGTGTAGACAGAATGCCAATTAGAACTACACATCATATTAAAAATAACCCACAATTAAGCCTCTAGTTGCTTTTGCTTTTCCTTTTGCACAGAAAGGTGACTGAGGAGTTGTCAGAGACCTGGTTTGGACAACAAAGAAATGTTAGCATTTTCAACCGAATCCTGTCCTCTTAGACTGCCGCCCTCTCCCTGTGGAATCTCACATGGTGTCGGGATCATCGTGCTCCTCTGGGCTCCCCTTGTTATAAAGATCAGTCAATGAATCCAGCCCTGTGGCCCGCATCTCTTCCCCATCTGGCATTGTGTAGGTGTAGCTCTCCACATCACCAGGACCTTCCAAGGCTACAAGTTGAAGAAACGGAGCCTCTTCCATTTCCATGTACTGAGACAGGTCTGCAGCGATCACCTTTTGCTCAAGATCAGACTCCTTACACACTGACAAAAAGACGTTACTAAGGGAAGGGGGTAGAAAGAGTGAGAGAAAAATACAATTCAACAACCTGCTACATCATGTCCGCAACCATTTTCAATCATTTTATACACAAGTACATGCAAGATAACATCTTGTACACATCTGTTACACCCCAAGACATGAACAGAACATGATTATTCAGCACCTCAAGTCTACTTCTCCATTCAGTTAGATATAGCTGATCTATACCTCAGCTCCATTCACTCACCTAATCACCATATAATCAGTAGTTATTCACAACACCGATTACAAGTAAAAACACAAAGCGCCAATTGATAAACAAAGAGTATAAACAAAATTTCCAGTTGTCTCCCAAACTTCCGCAGACAGCACCTTCCAAACCCACAACCATTACCATCACATGAACACCATCACATGAACACCACCACCTCCAAGTTCCCTGCGAAGTAACTGACCATCCTGACTTGGAAATATATCACTGTTCCTTCACTGTTGCTGGGTCAAAATCCTGGCATTCCCTCCCTAAGAGCATTGTGGGTCAACCCACAGCACGTGAAATGCAGCAGTTCAAGATGGCAGCGCACCACCACCTTCTCAAGGAAAACTAGGGATGGGCAATAAATACGGACCCTACCAGTGACATCCACATCTTGTAAGTGAATTTTTAGAAGTCATCTTTGTGAAACACAAGCCACTTATCAGTTAGCAATGTTATATAAATGCACTATATTGCTAAATGTGTAAGTTTTCATTGACAAATGCTTTGAAATATTCAATCCAGAGAAACTGCACTTAGCTAACAGCTCAGAGTTTTAAATGAATTCAATTTTTTTTTTAAATCAAAGTGAAACTTTAGGATGAGATTTATTTTAGTCAAATGTTTGAATTTTCTTTTAGAAAAACATTTTCTGCCTGTAGTCAGAGTCTACATTAGCAAGCTTTATGTGGTAATATTTTAAAACTGACTCTAAATCACTAGCAAGGCCGGAATGAATGCCTTAGCATTCGAAATTCGAGGGGCTTGCTAGGCCACTTCACAGGATAGTTAAGAGTCAATTGTGTTGATGTAGGACTGCAGTTATAAACAGATCCAGGTCAGGAAAGGATGGCAAGTTTCCTTACATAAATACCTTTATTAAACCAGCCAGGTGTATATGATAATCCAACGATTTCTCCTGCCACCAGCTTTTTAAGTTTCAGATTTGTTTAAAAACAAACTGAATTTGAAAGCTTCCAAACTGGATGGTGAGATCAAAAAGGAGGCAAAATCAAAGACAAGATTCAGATCAGCACATTAGGGACAGAGTTCATGATGCAAAATTCCAAGCACAGTGTTCAGTCCAGATAAGGCGTTGTTGCTTAAGTTTGTGCTGAGCTTCACTGGAAATGGTAGAAATGTGAACGGGAGAGCAGGATGTGGAATTAAAGAGTCAGGAAACCAGAAGGTCAGGGCAATGCTGCAGACTGAGTGGTGATGTCATTATCTAATAAAGATTACCCACCATGCTGCTCTCCCCAACGTACAGAGTAAACTAGATTGAAAGAAACAGATGCAAATACCTGCTCTAACTGTTGGGTGTGTATGAAGTCTTGGATTATAGGGAGAGGAGGTTAAAGGGTTGACATTACACAGGCCGCAAGTGTGCGGCTAGATGCTGTGGAGGGAGCTAAAGTGTTAGGGGCGATTAACGAGTAGACCCAGGTGTCACAGAGGGAAAGGCCAGTTTGGAATGCTGACAGACGAGGGAAGAGGGAGTGAGTTGAGGTGGCAGCATCATGCTGGATGGAGATGGCAGAAATGACAGAGGATGATCCACTGAATTGGTGGGATGGAAACAGGGAACAAGGGACCTCTATCACAGTATTGGATGGGAGAGAAACAGGGTGGTGACCTTCCAACAGTGCAACAGCAGATGAGCTAAGCATGTAGCATGCACAACACAGTACTCGCGAGTGATTTTAATCTGTATATAGATTTACTTAAACCATTTGAGCACTAAACGCATAGAGGCAAAGTTTCTGGATGTGTCTGCAAGATGGTTTTCAACAGCTATATGTTAAGGAGACAGCTACCGGACATGCTATTTTATATCTAGCATTACGTAAGGAAAAAGGGCTAATTCTTGTTGTAAAGATACTTCAGGGATAAGACCACGATATGATAGCGTGTTACATCATGTCCGAAAGTGAGGGAATTTGTTCTAAAGCATGGGAGTTAAATTGAATAAGGGACATTGTGAAGGCATGAGACCCAAATTGGCTAAGATGGATTGGGAGAATAAATAGGGAATTTTACATTCCTTCAAGGTGCAAAAAAACACAAAAAGCTCACTGAACCACAGCAAACAAAGCAATTTCAGGATTGTACAAGATTAAAAAAGGCCGAACAAGTTAGTAATAGTCTTAGAATTGGAAAGTTTATAAACAACAACAAAGGAAGATCAAGAAACTCGTAAAGAAAGGGAGAATGGGATATGAATGTAAACCAGCAAAAAACGAAACTGGACTGTAAAAGTTTTGTAGGTATGTAAAAAATAAATATTTGGCTAAATTAAATGAGAACTATCACAGGCAGAGTCAGGAGAACTTATAAAGGGGGAATAGAGAAGTGGCCGAGAAGCTGAATAATAACTTTGTTAAAAACCAAAAGAACTGCGGATGCTGTAAATCAGGAACAAAAACAAAGTTGCTGGTAAAGCTCAGCAGGTCTGGCAACATCTGTGAAGGAGAAAACAGAGTTAATGTTTCGGGTCCGGTGACCCTTCCTCAGAACTGACGGTGACTGGGAAACGTCAGTTTATATGCAGAAAGTAGGGAGGTGGGTGGGGTAGGGAGTAAACGATAGGATACAGCCCAAAGAGAGAGAAAGACAGTTGGACAGACAAAGGAGTTGCTAACGATCAGGCTGGGAGGGTGAATAGTTGTTAATGGGGACTGTTAGTGACTAACAACACGGGGTGTGTAATGGCAGGCTATGTGGTAACAAGGCCTGGTGTGTGGGGTCGGGGGCTGGGACATTGGAGAGTTTAGGCCCTAAAATTATCGAACTCAATAATTGAGTCCAGAAGGCTGTAGGGTCCCCAAGTGGAAAATGAGGTGATGTTCCTCCAGAGATAGTAGGAACTGCGGATGCTGGAGAATCTGAGATAACAAGATGTCGAGCTGGATGAACACAGCAGGCCAAGCAGCATCAGAGGAGCAGGAAGGCTGACATTTCGGGCGTAGACCCTTCTTCTGAAGGGTCTTCCTGCTCCTCTGATGCTGCGTGGCCTGCTGTGTTCATCCAGCTCTACACCTTGTTATCTCTGTTGTTCCTCCAGCTTGCGTTGGGCTTCACTGGAACACTGTAGCAAGCCAGAGACAGAGATGTTGGCGAGGGAGCAGGGTGGTGCACTGAAGTGGCAGGCAACAGGTAGTTCAGGGTCTTTTTTGCCAGTAGAACGTAGATGTTCTGCAAAGCGGTCGCCAAGTCTACGCTTCATTTCCCCAATGTAGAGGAGACCACATTGCGAACAGTGAATGCAGTAGACTAGATCCTGGGAAGTGCAAGTGAAGTGTTGCTTCACCTGGAAGGTATGTTTGGGCCCTTGGACACTGGGGAGGGAGGAGGTAAATGGGCAGGTGTTGCACCTTCGCCGGTTACAGGGGAAGGTGCCGTAGGGCTGTGGGGAGGTGTTTGGGGTGAAGGAAGTGTGGACCAGGATGTCCCAGAGGGAACGGTCCCTGCGGAAGGTGGACAAGGGAGGGGAAGGGAATATGTGTCTGGTGGTGGCATCTTGCTGGAGGTGGCAGAAATGGCATCTGATGATCATTCTTTCCCTCCAGGACACCCTGTCCACACTTCCTTCACCCCAAACACCTCCCCACAGCCCTACGGCACCTTCCCTTGTAACCGGCGAAGGTGCAACACCTGCCCATTTACCTCCTCCCTCCCCCAGTATCCAAGGGCCCAAACATACATTCCAGGTGAAGCAACACTTCACCTGCACTTCCCAGAATCTAGTCTACTGCATTCGCTCTCACAATGTGGTCTCCTCTACATTGGGGAAACAAAGCGCAGACTTGGTGACCGCTTTCGCAGAACATCTACATTCTGCTCACAAAAAAGACCCTGAACTACCTGTTGCCTGCCACTTCAGTGCACCACCCTGCTCCCTGGCCAACATCTCTGTCTCTGGCTTGCTACAGTGTTCCAGTGAAGCCCAACGCAAGCTGGAGGAACAACACCTCATTTTCCGCTTGGGGACCCTACAGCCCTCCGGACTCAATACTGAGTTCAATAATTTTAGGGCCTAAACTCTCCCATGTCCCAGCCCCCCACCCCACACACCAGGCCTTGTTACCACACAGCCTGCCACTACACACCCCCTGTTGTTAGTCACTAACAGTCCCCATTAACAACTATTCACCCTCCCAACCTGATCGTTAGCATCTCCTTTGTCTGTCCAACTGTCTCTCTCTCTCTTTGGGCTCTATCCTATCGTTTACTCCTTACCCCACCCACCTCCCTATTTTCAGCCTAATAACTTTGTTGTTTGTTTTCACTGAAAAAATTGCAAGGAATCTTCCAGAATTACAGATCCAAGGCATAAGGAGAATGAAGAGTTGAAAGAAAAGCAGCTTCAGTAAAATGACTACTGGACAGATTAATGGGATTGATAAATTCCCAATACCTGATGGTCTAATCTCAGAGTGTTGAAGGAGGTAACTACAAAGATAATCAATGCATTGATGATTATCTTCCAAAATACTGTAAGTTCTGGAATGATTTCTGGACATTCCCACTATTTAAATAAGGAAACAAGGGAGAAAAAGGGAATTACAGACCTGTCAGTCTTATATCGGTAGGGAAAATGTTAAGGATGGGATAAATAGGTAATGGCTGGTAATGATCTGATTGTGCATAGTCAGCATGGATTGCAAACAAGCAACTATCTGACGAACTCGAGTTTTACAAAGATGTTACTAAAATAAACTGATAAAGGAAAGCCAATGGATGTAGTCTACTCAAATTTTCAGGCGAGCTTTGATAAAGGTTCCCATCCACTAGGAGGATGGTCAGAATAATTAAAGCACATAAAATAGAAGGTAATGTACTGGCATAGATGAATGATTGGTTACCAGGTAGAATCAATGAGGCTGCCAATACCAGAATGACCGTGACTAGTGTGGTACTGCAAGGGTCAGTACTTGGGCCTCAGATGTTCACAAGATATATGATTTTGAGGTGGGGACAAAATGCAATATTTCCATATTTGCAGATGATGCAAAACTAAACGAGGAAGATGTGAACTGGCTTTACGATTTGGATTTGGACAGGTTTATTTAATGGTCAAGAACATGGCAGATGGAATATGGAAAAATGGGAGGCTATCCACTTTGGTAGGAGAAACAGACGTGCACAGTATTTCTTAAGTGGTAAGAGAAAATGTGGATGTACAAAGTGACCTAGGTACTCTTGTCAATAAATCACAGAATGCTAAAATGCAGGTGCAGCAAGTTATTAGAAAGGTTAATGGAATGTCAGCCTTTATCGTAAGGGAGGTTGAGCACAGGAGTAGTGAGGTCTTGTTTCAATTGTATAAGAGTTTGTTTGGATTGCACTTGGAGGTACTATATGCAGTTTTGGTCTCTATCTCAGGAAAGGTACTATTGCCATAGGGCATGCAACAAAAGTTTACCAGACTTGTTCCCACGATGGAGGGACTGTCCTATGAAGAGCCTGTGGGCAAACTGGGTGCATATTCTCCAGTGTATTCTCCAGAGTTTCAGTGAGAGGTGATCTCATTGAAACTCACTAAACATTTAAAAGGATAGACAAGGGTAGATGCAGATGCTTCACCTGGATGATGAGTCTAGGACCTGGGACAAAGTTCAAAAATAAGAGGGATTTGCTTAGGTTGGAGATGAGCAGAATTGTATTTTTTACACTCGAACATTGTGAACCATTCTCTACCATAGAGGGCTATGGAAGCTCAGTGAGTACATAAGGTAGAGATTGATAAGATTTCAGATTATCAGTGATGTTAAGAGTTTATGCGGATGGGATTGGTAAATGGCACTGAAGTTTCAATAAGACATGATCATACTGAATGGCCTACCCCTGTATCTATGTTCCAATGAGAGTACTGAGGGAAATGTTGCACTATGCTGGGAATGTCAGCTTGGATTATGTGTTGAAGACACTGTAGTGGGACTCGACCTTCTGACTCAGAAATCAAAGAGGTGCCCACTGAGCCAGGCTGACACATAACTTTATTCTAACTTCCATCAAATGTTAAGCAGTATTTCAGATATAATTTACTTTCTTTCCCTCTTGACAAGTAGAGTTGCTAGGGAAACATACAGGTGCCCTTTCATTAGACAGAGTCAGAGGTGGTAGGTTTAACCTTAGAGTCACCACACCCCAGGTGAGGGGAGACACCAAGAAAGCAGGATTTTCCTGGTGACCTCAGCTAGTGCAGGAATTGAACCCATGCTGTCACCATTGCTCTGCATCACAAACCAGACACCCAGCCAACTGAGCTAACCGACCTAAAGCATGTTCATGTCAATTTTTGTTCATACATTACTTAAAAGTCAGAGAAACCAAAATGTGACTTACAAATATGAAGTGCAGGATTAACATTTTAAATTATACCATAAAAAGAAACGGCATAGAAAACTCAGCAAGTCTGACAGCACCTGTAAAGAGAAAAGAGGGTTAGCATTTCAAGTCCAGTGACCCGTCATCACAATGACATCATCACTGGACTCAAAATGTTAACTCTTTTCTCTCAACACTTGCTGTCAAACCTGCTGACTTTCTCCAGCTCTCTGTTTTTGTTTCAGATTTCCAGCATCTGCAGTTCTGTGTTATTACTGTGAAATAAAAAAAATTGTTGCTGAAAAATAGCAGGTTGTACACGGTGACAGTAATTATACTGTCGTGTGATTACAGCCAGTACCTGATCTTCAAACTTGCCCACTAGTACATGCCAAAAACGGGAGACAAACCCACTAAGATTTTTACTCTGCAGATGTGATTGGATTTTCAGTAAGTTAAAGTCAGACCCATTCTTTTTGTTAAAAACTGTACAACCAACCATTAGATAGCAAGAATTGCAGATGCTGCAGTCAGAGTCAACACAGTGTGGAGGAACACAGCAGGTCAGGCAGCATCAGAATTCTGAAGAAGGGTCCCAACCCGAAACGTAACTTTCCTGTTCCTCTGATGCTGCCTGGCTTGCTGTATTCCTCCAGCTCCACACTGTGTTGAAACCAACCGTTATGCACAGTCATTTACCCTTCAGGTTGGCACACTAGCCCCTTCAAGCAGGGACAGCGGTCTAAAGCTCCTTCAGGCTCCAGTTCCCAAGTGATGAGGTCCAAACTTCGGAGTGTGGGATCATGGCAGGGTTGGCCCTTGGTGGGCAGTGGGGTACACACAGGAAACAAGAGATCTGAGTGAAATTAATAAAGACTTTGTGACAGCAACACCATGTCTGCAATGTCAGTGATGGTTCAGTTCAACAGGCTATTTCACAAGTGTTCCAACCTCTCTCAACAACGACCAAACAAGCAAACTTGTTCTTCCACAGTGTATCATTAAAAGCAGATAAATGTTTTCAAACATATCCCATTTTTCTTCACAACAGGTAAAATTGTAGGAATATAGGACTTGGGAGCAGGAATAGATCATTCCCTTCTGTACTGTTCAGTAACATCATGGCTGATTGGATAGACTTCCTTCCTGCTTGGCTCTCATAAACGACAACTCCCTCATCTATCAGAATTCTGTATCACTCAACTTTCAATGTACTCAATGACTCAGCCTCCATTCATTCTCTGGAAGAGAATTTTGCAGATTAACAACCTTCACAAAAGAAAAATCCTCATCTCTCAAAAGGGAAACCTCATTTTTAAACTGTATCTCTTAGTTCTAGTCTCCTTCACAAAAATATAAAAACAAACATACAAAGTTTTATATTTAGGCTTGGCCTGTCTCTTTCTCACCACTAAGGTTAGTCATGATGTGGAGGTGCCAAAGGGGCTACACTCCAAAAGCTTGTGATTTCAAATAAACCTGTTGGACTATAACCTGGTGTCATCTGATTTCTGACCTAAGTTTAGTCAATGTAAGTCAAGCCAGTCTGGGGCCAGAATTCAACTACTGTAAGTTGATAAAGCCAGCGGCTAATCAGACCCAAATTATTCCAGGTTGATACAGCCAGAGACTTATAGGAATTTAATCGCTATTTGGGGTGAAAACTTCACAGCTCCGTGAACACTTGTATTTCCAGGTCTGGAAAAAACAGTTTTAAATGGCTTTTTTAAACTATGAGAGAAACAGGCCCGTTGAGACTTGCCCTTAGTAACAGGGCCATTTTCCAAGCTAAACTGCATTTTGGATATCATACGAGTTATTAAAACTGATACTTGTTAAACTTGACCATATGCCCCCACACTTCCACATTTTAGAAGCCCAGCCTTAGGAGCTTGGGGGAGGGGAGGGGTTAAACTAAATCATCAGATTACTTTTTGTAACTCACAGGTATGGAAGGCACAACATAGCTCCCCACTGCAGTCATGTTGCTTATCACAGATGGAGCCCGTTCCTCCTTTCACGGCACCCGTTTTGCATTGTCCCCAGATACACAAAGAATCCGAATTACATTCTCCATCTCGAGTACAGTTCTAAAGAAATTCAGAACAAAACGTACAGTCAATATCCAACTCAAAAAGCTTCTAGGACAAAAAGTATTCTGAATATAGATGACAAATCATTCTTTTTTGGTTGTCGCTGGTGATATCACAGTTCAAGAAAATCAGGCGAACGAGAGAGAAATAAGGATGGGAAGATGTGATCAAAAGTTAAAATGATGCAAACAGAATGGAAAGAGACTAATGTGCAGTGTTAACACCAACAGTGAATAGTTGGGCTGAATGGCCTGCTTCTTTGTTATACAAACTACAAGGAACAGTAGTTATGTATTCCAGGGAAGATGATTCCAGGACAGTATAAAAATTTAAACTCATTTTAATAAAATCTGAAACTAAAAACAAGTGAACATGAAACTACCAGAATCATGAACCAGATGGGTTTGCACTCAAACTGGAAAGGTGCTGTTCCTACACAGTCCAAGCCTGTATGTAACCCCAGATCGACACCAACAATGTTGACTCCAAACTGTTATCTAGCTCACTGCCAGCGGCTCAAGAACACCCACCATCACCTTTTCAGGGCAACAGAAGGCTAGCGACACCCACCCACATCCCAAACTGAACATGAATGAACCATAACTCACCTCCTCCTGTGCTCTCTGGGGAAGGCACTTCGATTCCAAGACATCAACCCAGCAGAAATGGTCTTTCCTGCAATCCTCATCAACAATACACTCCTATGAGAAGCACAATCCATTCAGTAGGATGTTAATTAACAACTGCTACAGTTCTAAACACGATTCACTGCTCCTGGGCAAGGAATTACTGATGATGGCCTTTCTACAGTGTGTTCATTCATACAGCACCTTAAACATCCCGCTGCATTAGCAAGGAAAACCAGATACTTATCCACCTAAGCAGATATATCAGGACAAGTAGCCGAAAGCTGGTTAAAGAGATAGCTTTGAAGGAGGGGAGGTGGAGAAATTTACGGAATTTTGGATTTTAAGACCCAAGTGATTGAAAGCACTGATGGATTGATATGAATTAAGGATCCCCAAGAGGTAGAATTGGAGAAATATTCCACGTGAGCTGTGGGATCTGAAGGAAGTGATGGACATTAGGAAGGGCAAGGGACTTGAAAACAAGTTTGCGTGTCTGTCTCTTTCTTACTCAAGTCAGAAGGTTGTGGGTTCAACCCCACTCCAAAGACTGGAGAACAAAATCCAGGCTGGCACACAAATGCAGTACCAAGGTGCCATCTTTCAGTCTCCTTGGCCATGTGGTCGTCATAGATCCCAGGGTACTACTCAAAAAAAAAACTGGACCAGTGTCCGGGCCAATATTTAACGTCAATCAATACGACTACAAGATTATGTCATCACTTGTCAAATTGCTGTTTGTTGGACTTTGTTGTGTATAAATCAGTTGTTGCGTTTCAGACACCCCTACACTTCAAAAAGCACTTCACTGACTAAAGCATTTTGGCTCACCCTGAGGATATGAAATGCAAGCTCATCCGTCCGTTACAGCTAATTTTGTCATGTAGCCACCGTTGGAAAGCAAGGAACAAGGGCGATTGATTTGTGCACACAAAGATCCCACAAAATGACCACAAGTGTTTAGAGATGGGTTTGGCAGAGAGTGAAATATAGACCAGCAAGGTTCCTTCAAAAAATTTAACGGAATATTTCATGTCCAGCAGAGGAGAGGGGACTGGTTTTGGTTTAACATGTCGGAATAGCAGCACCTCCAACACTACAGCACTCCTTCACTACAGGCTGGAAAAATGGCTCAAACCTTATGATGGAATTGAACCCATGGCCTCTGGCCTCACAGACAATATGACAACCCACTGAGTGAGCCACATTTTCCATTGGGAATCCTGCATTAGGTATAATAGGACAGCATTATGTTTTTTTAAAAGATCAGACAGTACCCATTCTCAACATGCTACTTATTCTTCACCGTTAACACAATTTCTTCCCCTGACATTTTCTCTAATAACTCCGTCCCTTACTGACACCAGCCCACACAGGCTTGTGAAATTCCAAGATTAAACGCCAAGACACTGCTTTAAGCAAAACCTCAGCAGAAATCCCACAGAGTGAAATTATACTGTTTTCGTCTGTCAAAAAGTTACTTTGAACACCATTAGTGGGAAAAATATTCATGATGCAGCAGGGGGGAGGTGGGGGTTGGGAGACATTGTTTGATTCAGTTAACAATTAGTAAATGAAAAGCCCCTGTGCTTTTTGATCAGCTATGGGGAGGTGGGTGAATACCTCAGACAACCAAAGACAGGATAGTAGAGAGGTAAAGTATCCAGGAATACAAAGCACAGCATTTGGCGACTGGACACTGGGTTTGGTTCATAGCCTCCCTCTGCACCACCTCCAGTATCCGGCTGTTTCAGCGACCAGACGGAAAGCAAGATTCAAGGCAAGGGATCCAAACAAGATCCCCACACAGCTCCACGGCAACAGCTTCAGACTCCGAGTCAGCCAATACGTTCTTGTGGTTGGGCAGCGAAATAACTGGCAGCCTTTGAAGGAAGATTAATCCAACATTTAAAAGAAAAAATGAAGGCAGCTGGCTCTCCCAACTCACAAAACCCCGAACATACCCCCTTCCATAACAACGATATAGTTAGAGATCAAAATTCTCCTGATGTTCACCTACTCAGTAGGACAATGACAAGGAAACTGCTTACTTCTTGTAATTACAGTAAAATATGTTCTCTCCAAACCTGACATTATGTCAGTGAGAGGGGGAAAAGGGTGAGGTGGCAGGTAATTTTTACCATAAGGCTCTGTTTAAGGCAATATTGGAACACAGTTACATTATGTTCCAGTTCTGCGGTGTATGTTTTTCAACGGATCACAATCTTGGAAACTTTCACACTGAAATGCACTGGCCAATGAGTTGCCAGCATTTCACATGTTGGACTAAGGTTCTCTCCCTTCTGTGTAGCTTTCAATGCTGCTTAATTTTTTTTCAAAAGAGAGATCAAGATCGAGTCTACAATATCCACTACATTAGAAACTAGCTGGCTCTTCTAGAGAAGCTGGTTGCATGCCATTTGCCATACTGTTAACGAAGAAGGGAAGGATTACACACTAATGCAGATGTATTAATCTGATGCATATGCAACTCCTTAAAGCTACAATGAGTAGCTGCTTTTGAGTGTTATTTAGGAGAGGTTAATCATTGTTAGTTACATCCATGTTATTTTAAGGACAAAATTATGCAACTGCTAAAGAAACCGATTTATTGGGCTTCAATTATTCAATTCTCTATCCCTAAAAATTTTTAAGAGAATCTCTCATTTATATTTGGATGAATCAGTCCTCGTCTCCATCGATTCCCAACAAAGCCCATTCTACAGACTGATCACTCAATGGAATATTGTTAGGTTGGAAGGAGGTCATTCAGCCATCCTGCTCCACTATTCAATGAGATCATGGCTAAACTTGATCCCATCTTCACCTCCTCTCCGTCTCCCATGATTCTGTTGCTCACCAAAAAAAAATTGATTGCAATCTTCAAAACTCCAATCAATCAGGCCCTCCATCACCTTCACACTGCTCCCCACCTCAACTTCATTCACACCAAGTTACAAAAGGAAGAATTCCAGCTTCCTACCTCCCTGTATGTGAAGAACCCAACTTTTTCCCGAGTAACCTGGCTCTAATTTTAAGATCATGTCCAATGCTCTCTCTGATTTCCCTACACAACGCACAGTCTATTTGATGCACTGTTCAGTATCAGAAAGGGGCCAATTCTGTTTGCTTGCTTGTCTTGTGTCTGTTAAGGTGTGGACTGCTGCTGTCAACACCAGTACAACTTGAGAGGGAATATTAATTATGTCCTATTGTTTCAGATTCCTCCACCAGAGGAAATAATCTCTCATCTACCCCACCAAATTGTTTTAACATTTTAAATACATGGCACAGCGGCTCAGTGGTTAGCACTGCTGCTTCACAGCACCAGGGACCCATGTTCGATTCCACCCTTGGGCAACTGTCTGTGTGGACTTTGCACATTCTCCTGTGTCTGTGTGCGTTTCCCCTGGGTGCTCCAGTTTCCTCCCACAGTCCAAAGATGTGCAGGCTAGGTGGATTGGTCATACTAAATTGCCCATAGTGTGCAAGGATGTGTAGATTAGGTGGGTTACAGGGGGATGGGTCTGGATGGAATGCTCTGAGGGTCAGTGTGGACTTGTTGGGCCAAAGGGCCTGTTTCCACAGTGTAGGGATTCTATGCTCTATGATTCAGATCAGCCCATAATCCCCTGAGCTCAAGGGAATACAGTCTGGTTTCTACAACACAGCCCCACAGTTTAACTCTAAGTTCCAGTATCAATCTGCTACAGCCATCCAAAGTCAATACATCCTGAAATGTGGTGTCCAGAAACGAAGTTACTTCAGACAGTATCAGAGCAAAGACCGTACAACTGAATGGTGAACTTGCTACACTTTACATTCTAGTCCCATTGAGATAAAAGGCAACATTCCTTAAATCTTCTTAATTGTATCTGTCTACTGGCATTAATTTCTGGATGTAGCTAGAACAAAGAACAAAGAAAATTACAGCAAGCCTGCGCCGATCCAGATCCTCTATCTAAACCTGTTGCCTATTTTCCAAGGATCTGTATCCCTCTGGTCCCTGCCCATTCATGTATCTGTCTAGATACATCTTAAATGACACTATCGTGCCCGCCTCTACCACCTCTGCTGGCAATGCGTTCGCACCAACCACCCTCTGCGTAAAGAACTTTCCACGCATATGTCCCTTAAAGTTTTCCCCTCTCACCTTGAAATCGTGACCCGTAGTAATTGAGCTGACATTCCATATTTCTCTGATCCTCTGCACCTTAGTTTGTTACCACTTAGATCATATTCCAATTTATCTATTCGGCTCAGTGATAACCTCACACTTCCCCACCTTGAATTCTGCTTGATATAACTTTGTCCACTCAACCTGTCAGAGTGCCTTGCTGCTCCCATCTATACTAATGACCCTCTTAACTTAGTGTTATTTCCAAAAGTCACTATACAACCTTGCATTCATTCACGCAAGTTATTAATAAATATGGTGAAAAAGTGAAATCCCAATTCAGATTCCAAGGAAAAAAAAATCACTGATGACTTTTTATGTATTCCTAAGGGAATCAAAAGGATATGGGGATAGCGTGGGAAGGTAGAATCAGGTACAGGATTCACCACAAACATGCTGAATTCCCAGCAGGTCTGAAAGATTCAGTGGCTTGCTTCAACAAACAGCAAATCCATCTGAAAGAACCTGCTGACAATGTTTTGAACAGCATCAAACACTGAGTCAGTTCAAGCGTAAGAAATTGGGAAGGCGGGGTGTTTTTGTGCAGAATTTCTTGGAATCAGGCTTTCAGTTCAGTCTGAATCAATGGAAATGGAATTCGCAATCTTCTGGTTGCTGCTGTGTGCCCTACATCAAACAGGAACCCTCAGTCCCCAGGCTATGAATCACAGAACTACAAATAAGAACATGATGCTGATAAAAAACACATACCATGACAAGCATAGATTATTATTCTTGGAACAAATGGGGTGGCGGGGGAGGAACATATTCTCTGGACTGTCCTCACCACAAAACAATATTTACTTTGTCTGTTATTTAAACATATCACTGGATGAGGGTTCAATCCTTCAAATGCAGGGATCCACATGGAGTTGGGCATCAAGTTTCTTTTTAAAAC